TATATATATATATATATATATATATAGTGTGAGATTTACATATATTCTTCTTTCTTGTTTATGTTTTTAAATGGAGTTTCAGGAAATAAAGATTTTCTGCTGTGATCCATTGCTTCTCTTGTTGGAATGTTTTTCTAAAACAGTAATGTATAATGTGGCATGTGGGAAACGACTGTGAAACGTACTGTAGAACTGAATTTTCCAACCTGCTCATGTGGGTTAAATGGTCAGATTAGAGACCCCTAGATTTCAGGTATAGCCGCCCCTAATTCTTAACTTCCAAAAGCTGCGGTTATCGCCACAGGAGTTTTGTCCTGCCCTTTGAACCGAATAACGAATTTGACCGTCACTTTTTTTTTTTTCGTATCGCGCCCACACCTGAAAATGCGGACCGTGTTCAATGGCATCACGTCTCGAACCCTGGACCCTTCGACAAGTTAACCATTCGGTCATTCGCGGCCCAATTAGTGCAGGGGAGAATGAATATGCCGAAATATTAATATTTCGAACATACTTGATATTATCAAAAAGTACGACACGATCTATAACTAATCTTTTGCAAAAAATAAAACATGTAGACTCAAACTTCTGCAGTTAATCGCCTGAGAGTTTCTCGAACAAACGCATATATAAACAAAGGCATTTTGTTCATTATTAGAATTAAGTGTAAGTCATAAGTTTGACGGTGAATAACAGCATCCCAAAAATCATTAATTAGGCAGGCACTACATTTGGTATTTTCAACCTGAACGACACATGAAATAAACTTCAAGATTCAGATATAATAGTCCCTAATTTAGAACTAGTGACCGGAGGAAGAGAAACCAGTTTAGCAGCACCCGCCACATATCTTAACGGAGTAGCATTAACTATCACTTTTTTTATAGAATCGTGAGATATCATTGGGTTTACGGCCGAAAATGTTAACAGCGATTGAAACAATGCATTCTAATTTTTATAAGTAGATAAAGGTGTACTTAAGTAACTATATTGATGGCCAGGTTGATTTTTAGTTTCGCTCTAAGTACTTAGCTTGCTCTGATCGGAAGTTATCATTATTTACAACGCGCCCAACTTTAGAATTGCGATACACAGGCCAACATGCTAACTACTCGACTATTTGGCGCTAAAATCAAAAATCGCGTGCAGAACAACAATACAAATCTGGATTTCTCTCTCTTTAAGATTATCCAAATGTTGGCTTAGCGGTAAATTTGAGGGCTTATGACGCTCAAAATTGGGTTTCGATACTCGCGGTGGGCATAGCACAGATATCCCATTCTGTAGCTTTGCGCTTAACAACAAACAAAAACGCAAATGCTGTTTTGTTTTTTTTCCGACATGTGCAAAAGAATATTATTTCTCGAATACTGTAAATATTTGTAATATAGATATGTATGTTCATTAACTAATTCTATGAACCTTTAAGTGAAAGCAAAAGAGGGTAGGTTATAATATGTCAACCATACTACATCGGTCATATCCAGTGCCGACGAGGCCTTTCGGTCAATACGAGGGGCTCATAAGGCCGTCTGGGATACGAAAAGTTTTGTAAAAGCAGATGAAGTAGCGTGTTATTTTATAATAGTAATTCCGCGTCTTAAATAAAATTAACAAGTCATCTTTACAATTGAGCTGTGAAACAAGAAACTATTGTATCTTAATAGCAAAATTAAACCTAATATTACAAAGTAAACTCGAGCTATTCTTTTGAAGAACCTTAGAACGAATCTATTTACTACTAAATCTCTGAGATTGTTTGTTTGCTTGTCTGTAACTAAATACAGCAAAAAGGGCGCACAATAGCGCCATATTCGTAATGAAGTGAGAGTAGAAACAGAATAAAACAAGTTTCGTTAAAATCGGGCCAAGGGTTACCGAGTCAGCCCCGTTTTCTGGTCACTTTTCGTACATTCTTCCATTATTATAAAACTTCGTTTATACAACAATATATGCACAACGGAAATTAAATTATGAGATGAAAGTGTGTTATAACGGCACATAGAAAGAACAACAATAAAACGGACCTATAATATTATTGACTATTTGCAAATAGTAACTATAGAGACGAGGTAATAAAATAAAAATCAAGTCGAGA